TCAGCAGGCTTGGACATTGCCGTGTTGCCTTAGCGGTGGATGGGGATACTGTGTGCCAGCAATGCCCGCCTGGACTCCAGAACGGCTCCTTTCCTCGGGATCTGCTGTGTCCTCCTCTCTCCGGGTTTCTGTGCAGGTGTCTGGCAGGAAGGGTGTGCACTGGCTGCTTCTGCCACGGCCTTTCTCTGTAGCTGACCCTGCTGTAGAGCCTTAGTGCTGCTTCCATACAGGTCTTTTCTGCTGGTTTTTTGGGGCCAATTTTCCCCTTTTCCCCATTACTTTTTGAATTAAAAAAAGCAAACCTATACCAACAATCAGCCTCTTCCCCATTACTTTTTTGAATTAAAAAGGCAAACCTGTATCAACAGTCAGCCCTCATGACAGACTGTGGGGAAGGATCTGTTCCTACCCACCCTGGTTTTCCCTGGGTCCCAATGTGTGCAGGTAAGGACGTGAGGAACGGTGCGAGCTGGGCTGCCTGGGCTGTGGTGGATGAGGTTTATAGAGAAAGGAGTGAGGAGAGGAAATACTGGGTGTGCTTGGGGACAAATCTGGGAGAAAAACTGCCAAGTGTCACCAGCTCGGCCACCCCCAGGCCCCGCAGCTTCCCCTGGGCTCTCAGCAGGAGGTTCCCCCACACGGAGCCGCCTTTCGCGGCTCCCCGGTTACGAGGGCGTAGAACCGGTGTATTTTATCGCTCAGGGAGGTTGGAGCCGTGAGGACAGAAGCGGGTGCTGTCTGGATGGGGCTCCGGGACCCGGCTGCACCGAGAGCGCGGCAACCCTGTCCCGAAAGCCCTTCAGGAGTGCGGTTCCGGGCCTGCCCTGCCCACCGGGGCCCGGGAACGCCCCGCGGACGGTGGCCGGCAGGGGCCCGGCGCCGCGTTTCCTTGTGCGCGGCAGGGCCGCGGCCTGTGTCCGGTCTGCGCCCCTGTGGTCCCGGAGTCAGCGATGGATTTCTCCCGGTTCCTCTCGGATGATTTTGAGGTGAAGAGCTGGGTGAACGCGGCCTTTCGGGCCGTGCAGCAGGAGGCCCCCGGTAAGGTGGACGCGCACGCCGCTACCCTGGTGATGAAGCTGCAGCTCTTCATCCAGGAGGTCAACAACGCCGTGGAAGGTGAGGGGGGCCGGGGGTGCGGCCGTCGCCGCGTCGGGCTGGGTCCCGTGTGGGGTTTGTGCCTTCAGGTCGCCATCCCCATAGGTGCAGCTCTGTGGCCTCACAGATCTGTGCTGAACCCTGAGAAACCGCTGCTGAGGGAGGTTTAGATTTGATATTAGGAAATATTTCTTCACCTAAAGGGTTGTCAAGCAGTGGAATGGGCTGTCTAGGGAGGTGGTGGAGTCCCCAGGGATGGGGTGTTTAAAAGATGAGTGGATGCAGGGGTTACTGGTTGGCAGCGCGGGTTCGATGATCTTAAAGGTCTTTTCCAATCTAAACGATCCCATGAATCTATGATAAAGTACGTGTTTAAATTTTAAAGGTATAACTAAAGTTTTGTTGTTTGATGTTTTGCTTTGTTGATTGGTTGGTTGGGGCTTTTTAAAGTAGTAAATATTATATCTAAACTATATATGTTACATGTATATAAAGATTATGTCCACTCCCTGGAAGTGTTCAGGGCCAGCTTGGATAAGGCTCCGAGCAGCCTGGTCTAGGGAAAGGTGTCCGTGCCCACGGCAGGGGGTTGGACCAGGTGATCTTTAAGGTCCCTTCCAACTCAGGCCATTCTGTGATACAAGATAATTGAAGAGCTCCCTCTCTCCTGCAAGGGTTCCCAGGCCCCCCTCACTGTAGCGCTCGGTGTTTCTGTAGAAACAAGCCACCAGGCTCTGCAGAACATGCCCAGAGTCCTCCGGGAAGTGGAAGTCTTGAAACAGGAGGCAACTTTCCTGAAGGAGCAAATGATCCTGGTTAAAGAAGATATCAAGAAATTTGAGGAAGACACAGCTCAGTCGATGCAGGTGGGTTCCTGTCCCAGTGTTCATCTGCGACTTGTGAAATTGTGAAGCTTCCAGACTCGTTCATATGAAACAATCTCAGGAAGACAAGATAAAAACAGTTATTTTGACATCAGTAGTGGAAAAGTGGATTTGACACAGACCAGAGCAATCTGTGTTTCCTTTGGGACAGCTGATGCCTCAGTTCAGACAGAGTTACCCGATTTGGGACACTGGTTTCTGCCTGTTGTTAGCTGGGGTGCATTTTTCAGCATTTTTCATACTAAAAGTACAAATCCAAAATCGAAACCAACCTTTTGTCGTTTGACTTTGGAAGTTGATTTAACATCTCTGGCTCTTTCAGCCAGCTCGTTTCTCCTGGTAATGACATGATCTTTTCACCCAGTCTTTAAAATCCAAAGCAAGAACGACTCCCATAGTGTAAGTATCTATTGCAGTCATCTTTTGTTTCAGTGGGCAACATATATATTTTTTTTCTTCAGGTCCTGGTAGAGATCGACCGGGTGAAATCTAGGATGCAGTTGGCTGCTGAGTCCCTTCAGGAGGCAGACAAATGGAGCACGTTAAGTGCAGACATTGAGGAGACTCTTAAAACACAGGTGGGCACCCCCGTGTTGGTCTTTGTGCCTTTAGCTTTCCAGGACAACTGCATCTGAAAGGAGGTTTGTACAAGCGAGTACCTGTTTGTAGCAGGTCATTATGAAGCAGCTATTAATGCTTCCTGAGGTCATGCTCAGTAACCGCGTTGCCTTTCCCTGGTGGCAGGACGTGTCTGTGATTTCAGCCAAGCTGACGAGCATGCAGAGCAGCCTGGCCATGCTCGTGGACACGCCGGATTACTCCGAGAAGTGCGTGCACCTTGAGGCGCTGAAGAACCGACTGGAGGCCATGGCCAGCCCCCAGATCGTCGCTGCTTTTAACTCCCAGTCTGTCGGTCAGTAATCTGGGTGGCACTTACTGTCAGTGCAGAGATTGTTGTCTTTAAAAGTGAAATGTTTCTGTCTCAAAGGCTTCTGGTGCTGGGTTGTTGCTTTTTCTGGTGGAGCCAGATGCTGTGAAATGTTAAGAGCTCTGCAGCTGCCTGCGGTACACGGCATCTGTGGTTCCTTTACTGACAAATTCAAGGCAAATAATGACATTTTGGAATATTTTCTCTGCTTAGGATGAAACTAAATTGAATATTCTTACACTCTGTGGGTTCTCCACCAAAGAAAGGTGCTGGCGTGTCTTTCTGTATGGGCTGTTGTGCCCATAGAAGAGTTCTCTGGCTCAGTTACACCGACATCTTGCCCTCAGCTGTCAGACTGTCTCTTAACTGCCTGTTGTTTTGTTTTGTTTAGATCAGGCCAAAACGTTTGTTAAAGTTTTCACTGAAATCGATCGGATGCCCCAGCTTCTTGCTTATTACTATAAATGTCACAAGGTAAGCATTTTGATAATACTTTAATATGGACTCATAAACATTAGAGTTCTTGCTTGGCTTGGGCTGCAGGGGGAGCTGCCACCTCACGTATTTTCCCCGTGCTGCTGGGAGGATGGGACCTGTCCTGTTCCATGTTTCACTCCCAGACTCCTCTCTCTGGCCCATAACAGCTTTGGTGACTCCCCACGTTTCAGGAGTCATTCTCTGCTCAGGGCTTTGCCTTCCTTCCTGCAGCAGACGTGGGATACGTGTGTTCTGCTTGATTTCTCTGTGCCTTAGTTCTGCTTTGCTTTTCTTGGATGTGGCTGTGTCAGCAATAACTTTATTGCTGCAACTCGCCAGCTACTGACTTCTGTAAACTCTTTTCAGGTAAGATTAAAAGTTGAATTCCAGACAGTTCTGTAGCCATAACTTGATCCTCAAAACTTCTCTCATGACTGTGACTTTTGAGGATTAAGTTCAAGGCTAGGGCTTGCCAAGTATTTCAACTATTAGGTGGGGGTATCAGTTACAGCCTCATTTTATGAGGAAAATACCAATGTTAATTAAATCTTTGAATCAACTAAGAAGCCTCTCGCTTCATGCTGAAAGTCTTTTCCTTCTGTGGTGCTGAATTATAGCAAAGCGTTACGCTGCAGTTTGGAGAGAGGAGCAAGGGCGGGCATTGTGTTTTAGCAGCAGCGTCGTGCATGGGGAGCTCTGGGTTTGGAATAACCAAAGCACTGTCAGCGCTCCTCTTAGGGTGCTGCTTCTGTCCCCTGCAGGTGCAGCTGGTGGCCGCGTGGCAGGACCTTTGCCAAAGTGACTCGAGCTTGACTCGCCAGCTGGCTGAGCTGTACGACACCCTCCTGGGGACCTGGCACTCGCAGCTTCAGTGGGCAGCGCAGGTGCAGTGACCGTTCAATGCCGGTGCTGAATTCTCGTACAGCTCGTAGTTCATCGGTGCTCGCGCTGAGTTCTGCGCTGGGCCTTAGCAGTATGGGGCCTGCACCCTGCTTTCTGTTTCTTGTCCAGCTTTTGCAGACAAGAGCTGGTTTCTGGTGTTCTGCCGACTGCAAGGTTGGTGTGTTATTGACAGTAAAGCTGCTCTATCACTTTCATCTCTATCTTAAGTTTAATCTAATTTCTTGGTGTTGCGAATGTGTTGTGTTGCAAGACATTTGAAATGCCTCAGTGGCTTTATCACTTGGCCTGGAGGACGCCCTCAAGGTCATATTGGACTGACTCATGTTGCTCTGTGTAAGATATCGAGGGCTTCTGCTGTCACCCATTGCAGCCTGTGCGCTTGTTTTTCCTGCCAAGAATAACGTAGGATCCAAACCCAGTTATTGTCCGCTAGTGAGATGAAGAAATAACTTCATTTTGTTGAGCCCGTAAGAGTTTTTCATCCATGAAGGGTAAGAGATTCTTATCTTCGTGTTATGAAGCCCGGTGTAAGCGCTAGACCTCTGCTGCAAAGGAGCTCAGTGTTTCCTTGAAATGTATTTTTTCTGCCTAATGATTCGATGTGAATTACAGGTCAGATGTCAGCTTACATTTTAGCAGATATTCTTTGAGCTGGGGATTGTGAGAGGGAAATGTCACGTGGGGCACAGCTCGTGTCACTCAATCTCCGCTGTGGCTGCTGCTTTCTGAAGAATTCTTGGACCTTTTTCATGCTGTTCAGTATCCATGGCGACCTTGCTGCAGGAGGCTTAGGGTGATCCCAGCTTTCAGAGCAAATGAGCAGGGATAGCTGACAAAAAAGGCACAATGAAAGGCTGTAACGTGTTTTTTGCTGGTGGAATTGAGGGTGGTGTGTGTAAATAGGAGTCCTCAGCTGATTACAGCCTTTCTGGCCTTTCCAGCGCTGACCTCTGCCTACATGACCAGTAATTTGGCTTATGGTACAATACTATTTCTTCATATTTTCCCGATATGTGTGTTTTTTCCCAGCACACCTGTGTAAACTGAGCACTGTTTTCAAATGCCCTTTCCTGCCAGGTGGTTTTTACAATTACTACGGTGCCCGTGTTCTGCTGAATTCAGTTTTTGACCTATTCCTGTCTTCTGGTTTCCTGGTTAAGTGCAGTTTCAGTGGTATAATACACATTGATGAAGACTTTGCAACCAGGCTATCCTGCACGCTGGGCCAGAGAGGTTCTTGCAGTCTTAGCAGATGTCTTTTGGGTTTTGTAGGCAATTTTATGTTCATTCTTTAACAGAAAAAAGCACATGCCCAACTGTTTTCAGTGCTGGGCGTGAAAAAAGTCCAGGTTGGCTGCTCCTGCTTTGGCTCCCAGCTCTTTCCTCCCTGGTGCTGGCAGCGTTTCCAGCCCCGGCTGTTCTGGCCCTGCTGTTCCAGGAGCCCAGGTCTCTGCAGGGGAAGGGAGGCTGCAGTGGGCATCCTAAGAGGTGGTGCTGCTTCTCCCAGCACAGCAGCAGCAGGAGTTCAAGGGATGAGGAGGGCTTGGACAGGATAGTGACGTGTGGTTGGGACACTGAGGGCTCTCTCTGAAGCTGCTGTCTGCTGCCTGTGGTGCCCCTCCGAGATAATGTGCTTTTGCTAAGAGCTTTTCTGTCACTGCAGGTTTTCAGGAACCCCCATGAGATTGTGACTGTGCTGTTGATTCAGACTCTGGGGGCGCTGGTGCCCTCCATCCCTGTCTGCCTCAGCACTGCCATGGAGAGAGCGGGCCAAGAGACCAAGCTGAACAAGCTGCTGGAGCTCTACGATGCCACCATCCACTTCGCAAAGGGGCTGGAAGCGGCGATGCTGCCAAACCTGAGTAAGGCTCTTGCTCTGAATTCTGTCATGCTGTCCTGTTTCTCCTTCGTGAAGTTCTGTTGTGGGATCTTGTTCAGTTTTCCACAGAGGGAGGGATTGTATCTTCCGCAATATCGACCAGTTACCTGGCATTTGCACCTCTGTGTTGTGTGTGTCTAGATCTTACACTGGAGATACCGACACAATACTGAATTGCTTTACTGAAGCAGACCTGTTCTGAGCGTGCTTGCTCTTCTTAGGTGAATAATACTGAGCACTTTTCCCTTGACAAGGTTTAGTATTTCTTCTGTCTAACGGACGAGGAAACGTCTCTAGAGAAGCTGCCTGTGAAACGCCTTGGGAGAGATCACAGAGCAGAGAGCAGAAGTCGAGCAGTTTCCTGGAATTAAGTCACACCTTACGAAACAAGAGCAAACCTGCCTGAGAGCTGCATCCCGTGGATTCTTGATTTTCATTTTGTAGTTTTCCTGTTGCTGCTGGCTTAAGTTTTGGTCAGGTGAAAATGCCAGGCCAGATACCATTTCTGAACCATTGGGAGTTTATTCCCTAGCAGCATCCTCGGTGTTCGATTCAAGATCTAACCTGTGCTTTCCTTACCCTGTGATGTTTGTCACCTCATTTTGAGCATGACTTGATGAATAATTCCCACAAACCACAAAGTAGTGTGGTGCTGTGTTTACATAGGTTTATGCCCGGCTCAAACCGTTGGTTATTTATGGTCCTTTATGAACCTGGTACGGCCCCTTCAAAGGCCAGGTACGGGAAAATCCTAAATTAAATCTAATGGGGCATTCCTAATGCTGCGTTTCCTGTGTTTGGTTCCTCATAACATCGTCTTGAGCTATTTAAACCCAGATTCTTACTTGATCGTGTAAATTGTGATTACTGAGCAATTTCAGGGGGTATGACTGGCGTTGTGTGGGGTTTTGTTGTCTTCGTGATTGCGTGCTCACAGCAGTCGTTTTCTGTCCTTGGCTTAGCTTAATCTGGGGTTCATAATAGGAATTATTAAAAAGAACATTGTGGAAAAATGATGTCACGTTCTAGAAGGTGATGG